ACTGAGAGGGGACATGAGAGCAGTTTTTAAGTATCTAAAAGGGTGTTACAAAGAGGCAGGAGAAACATTGTTCTCCTTGGCCTCTGATATCAAGAAGCAATGGGCTTAAACTGCAGCAAAGGAGGTTTAGGTTGGACATTAGAACAAACTTCCTACCTGTCAGGGTGGTTAAACACTGGAATAAATTGCCTAGGAAGATGGTGGAATCTCCCTCACTGGAGATATTTCAGAGCAGGTTGGACAGACACCTGTCAGGGATGATCTAGACGGTGCTGGGTCCTGCCGTGAGGGCAGGGGACTGGACTTGATGACCTCTCAAGGTCCCTTCCAGTTCTAGTGCTCTGTGATTCTATGATTAACCTGGGTGGGTTCAGAGAAGGGCAGAAAGATGATTAAGGGAATAGAATGGTTCCATATGAGGAGAGACCTAAAAGACTCCGACAGTTCAGCTTAGAAATGAGACAGGTATGACAGAGGTCATGCAATCATGAAGGATGTGGAGAAACTGAAGGGAGAAATTTTGTCTGCTTTTTGACACACTACAAAACCAGGCGTTACATTACGTAATTAATAGGTAGCAGATTTAATACAAACAAGAGGATTTTTTTTAATGCAACACAGAGTTAATCTGTGGAACTCATTGCTAGGGGACATTCTGATGTCCAAAACCACAACAGGGTTCAATGAAGAACCAGATACATGTATAACTGGAATGCAAAGGAATTAGGAAGATTGATGGAGGTCAGGTTCATAATTAATGTTCCCTCTAATTTTTTCAACCATGTAGAGAATAAATTTTGTCATATGCACCTGGGCATGTGCAGAGGTAAACCACCAATAGTAACACAGGCTGTTTGCTCTGGAGGCTGTGGGAGCTCAGCTAATCATCTGGGCGTAATTTGAATCTCTTCCGGTTAGCCACCCAAATGCTCATCTTACAGGGAACACAGTTAAGTGGATATTAACCAGCGTGGTTGGGATGCAACCCCATGTCCCAGATCTCTGAATGTGAGAAGCTGGGAGTGGGATCACACCATAACTGCCTTGCTCTCTCCACCCCACTGAAGCTGTGGCACAGGCCACTGCAGGAGACAGGCGACAGCACGAGATGGACCATTGGTCTGACCCACAACAGGCTATATTGTGTTCTTCTGAGGCGTTTCTTCTCCACAGCTGCAGGACTGGGCGGAGGGGAGAAAAGAAAAAACCCCTCGGCATGTTTAGGACATTAGCAGGAAGATAAACAAGCCTCCAACCCCCAGCAGGAAACAGCACGTTTCTCTGCGCAGCAAAACATCCCTCTCCCCCCCCCCCCCCCCATTCTGTTCTCCCTCTCCCAGAGTTGGGGAGACCAGGGAGCATATGCACTAGGCAACAGCACCCCATCACCCTTATCAAATGTGCCATCAGGCAGCCAAACACAAGGCCCGTGGGATGCAGGCTGCAGAAGGGAGGCTGAGGCTGGCCAGGCGGTGGCCTTGAGAATCATATATATAGTAGCCCAATGTCTGTGAGTCTGTAATGCTGACGTACACGGCCCCGCCCCCTGGCTGTGTGCGTCACTGCCCCATCCCTCCTCCCCCGCAGGGGACCGGCTGAGCGGGCAGCCCTCAGTTGAGCTGCCACGGAGGGAGGGGAAGGGGGCGGGGCGGTGACATACACGGTCGGGGCGGGGCCATATAAGTCACCGCCCCCCTTCCCCTCCTGCCGTGGCGCTTGGCTGAGTGCTGTGCTCCTGAGCGGGCATCACTCAGCCGAGCGCCACAGCGGGAGGGGAAGGGGAAGTTATGTGAATAACGTAGCAGTAGAATAACGTAGAATAACTTCCAGTTATGTGAATAACGTAGCAGAAGTCAACTTACTTTAAGCCAAGTTCAGCAGCATCTTCACAGTCAGAGGCTGATGGGAGCAAACACTCCCGTCGGCTTACCTTACTCCTCGTCACTGCAAGGAGTATCAGTGCGGACCAGAGCTGACCTAAGTGTTTGATTTAGCGGATCTTAACTAGACATGCTAAATTGAATGCCAGAAGATAGATCTCCAGTGTAGCAAGTGGAGAAGTAGCCTGAGCACATGTTGAAAGTGTCTGAACCCAGATGAGTCTGAAAATTAGGATGCACCTGGAACAGGATTGCTTGTCAATAAATCTGACAGAAAAGAGATAAGATGGAGTAGTGCTCTGTTTTGGCTCAGCTAAATCAAAGCCTAAGGTATGAAAACGAGAAGAAAATGTTTTTGGAAACAAAATTAACTATAGCCCCTTTTTGGTTAAAACACAGTGAATGAGACGAGGTTGTAAGGATGAAGGAAATCCCAATAATACAACATTTACTAAAAAAAAAAAGTTAAACAGCCAAAAATTAACAATCCCCAATATTTTTAGAAAAAAAAAACCACGTAAATTGATCATGTGCATTTTCCTTTTATTTAAAGAAAAAACCCACCCCCTTAATTGCGTTAAGAAACTGAACAATGCTGGGGGTAAATGAGCTAGTGGTTCATAATGATATAGGAGCAAAACCTCTTTCATTCATAACTCTGGCTCCTGCAGGCTCTGAGACCTTGACCTGACCAGTAAACTCATCCATGGGGAAATCCAGGGGTGCTGTGAAAACACTGATGTTCATAAAGATGACAATGTTCTCAGGATTTTGCTAATCTCAGGTAAGGGCTGATCTATACTGTAGGTTTACGACAGAGCCTCGGTGGCAAACCCAGATGATGAATATGTGGCATAACATTGATATGATGTGGAGTGTAAATGGAAACGGGTTCATAGCATGTAGGGGTGTGTCTAGACTACATCCCTCTGTCGCCAGAGGTATGTAAATTAGACATACCAAAATTGCTAATGAAGCAGGGATTTAAATATCCCGCGCTTCAATAGAATAAAAATGGCCACCACTTTTTGCTGACGCGGAGATTTGCCAGCAAAAAGAGGCAGTCTAGATGGGGATCGGTCGACAAGGAAAGCCTTTTCCGACTGATCCCGTATGCATCATGAATGATGTTTACAGGATCTGTCAGAAAAGGCTTTCATTGTCGACCAATCCCCGTCTAGACTGTTGCAACAATGTCGGTATGTCTAATTTACATCCCTCTGGAGACAGAGGGATGTAGTCTAGACATACCCTAGTGGTGCGTCTAGACTGGCAAGATTTTGCGCAAAAGCGCCAACTGTCTACACTGGCTGCTTGAATTTGCACAAGAGCACTGACTTTGTAATGTACAAATTCAGTGCTTCTTGTGCAAATACATACACGCTCCCGCTCAGGAAGAATGCTTGTGCAAGAGGGCCAATGTAGACAGGGAAGAATTGTTTTGCGCAAAAAAGCCCCGATGGCTAAAATGGCGATCGGGGCTTTCTTGCGCGAAATCGCGTCTAGACTGGCCACGGATGCTTTTGCACAAAAGCACTTTTTGCGCAAAAGCATCCGTGCCAATCTAGACGTGCTTTTGCGGAAATACTTTTAACGGAAAACTTTGTCAACCGCTCCCTTATGCCTCATGAAATGAGGTTTACAGGAGCAGTCTACAAAGGCGTTCCCTGTCGACCGATCCGCGTCTTGACTCGAGTGCTGTGCCGATGATCAGCTGAGCCGGCACAGTGCAGCAGCCATTTTTATTTTAATGAAGCCGGGGATATTTAAATCCCTGCTTCATTGCCTCTGTTGGCAGACACATGTAGTCTAGACATACCCTAAGAGATTGATTATCTATGCTCTAAAAATCAAAAAGGGGTCCTACAAAAAGTGGAAACTAGCCAGAGACATAAGGCATAACAAGAAAAGACTCCCCCAAATATATTAGAAGCAAGAGGAAGTCCAAGGGCAGGGTAGGACCGTTACTTAATACGGAGGGGAAACCAATAACAGAAAATGTGGAAATGGCAGAGGTGCTTAATGACTTCTTAGTTCTGGTTCTCACCAAGACATTTGGTGGTAAATGGATGTGTAGGATAGTGAGTGCTGGAAAAAATGAGAACTGCTCAGAAGTTACAATAGGAAAAGAATAAGTTAAAATTACGTAGACAAGTTAGATGTCTGCAAGTCGCCAGGATGTGAAGAAATGCATCCTAGAATACACTAATTGAGGAGGAATCTGAGCCATTAGCTGTTATTTTAAAAAATCACTGAAGACGAGAGAGATTCTAAAAGACCGGGAAAGGGCAAATATAGCGCCCAGCTATAAAAAGGGAAATTAAAGGAGCACGGCAGAAAGGGCTGTAGGGTCATAGTGGACCACAAGCTAAATATGAGTCAATCATGAGACACTCTTGAAAAATAAGCAAACATGATTCTGGGCTGCATTAACAAGAGTGTCGTGAGTAAGACACGAGAAGTCATTCTTCTGCTCTACCCTGCGCTGATTAGATCTGTTAGAGTATTGGGTACAGTTCTGGGTACCACGTTTCAGAAAGATGTGGTGACACTGGGGAAAGTCCAGAAAAATGCAACAAAAATTGTTAAAGGGCCAGAAACTGTGACCTATGAGGGGAGATTGAAAGAACTGATTTTTTTTAGTTTGGAAAGCAGAAGACTGAGAGGGGACGTAATGGCAGCTTGCAAGTACAAAAAAAGGTTTTCTGCAAGGAGGACAGCGTAAAAAACGATACCCATTAACCTCTGATGACAGACAAGAAGTAATGGTCTTAAATTGCAGTTATGGAGGTTTAGGATGGATGTTAGGAAAACTTCCTAACGGTCAGGGTGGTTAAACACTGGAATAAATTGCCTAGGGAGGTTGTGAAATCTCCATCACTGAAGATATTTAAGAGCAAATTGGATAGACATCTATCAGGGATGATATGGATGGTGCTTGGTCCTGCCATAAGGGCAGGGGACAGGACTTGATGACTTCTCATGGTCCATTCCAGTTCTAGTGTTCTATTATTCTACATACTTTTCAAGCTGACAAAGGCAAAGTCGATAGTTACTACACCTCTGGAGTTCAAATGAGTATCTCTCTTTAACTACCATATGTATTTTCTGCTGTCTCCTTCAGCTCAACGGGAAGCTTCTTCCATAGCTCCGAAAGAATACTTTGATCAAACATTTCAGGATCTCTTTTGTTGACACCCCATAAATGATGGGGTTTAACATGGGCGGAAGCAGCACATGGAGATTGGCCAGTAGGTTGAGAATATAACCAGGGATGGCATGCCCATATTGGTATGCGGAAGGGGAGAAAAAGGATGGTATGTAGAACAACAGTATGACACAGACGTGGGAGCCGCAGGTACGCAGAGCTTTCAGCTGGGCGTCCTTCGATGGCAGCCGGAAGACGGCCCGGAGGATCACCACATAAGATACAGCGATGAGCACAGCGTCCAAGCCGATTACTAAAAAAGCCACAGCGACGCCGTACCAGAAGTTGACTGTGACGTTGTCGCAGGCCAGCCGAGCGATGGTCATTTGCTGACAATAGGTTTGTGGCAGGAGGTTGGTTCTGCAAAACCTCAGCCGCATCACAAGAAATATGAAAGGGAAAACGAGACAGAAACTCCTTGTGAGAACCGCCAGCCCGATCTTCCCGATCACAGGCTTGGAGAGCAGGGTGGTGTATCTCAGGGGGTTGCAGATGGCAACGTACCGATCAAACGCCATGGCCAGCAGGATGCCCGACTCGGCGATAAAACTGACATGGATGAAGAACATCTGGGTGAGGCAGGCAGCAAAAGAAATTTCCCCTGCACCGAACCAGAACACGGCCAGCATCTTGGGCACTATGGTAGTTGACAACAGCAGATCTACAGCGGCCAGCATGGAGAGGAAAAGGTACATGGGCTCATGGAGGCTTCGCTCTGTCACTATGATGAAGAGGAGGAGAGAGTTCCCCAAAAGAGCAGTAACGTACATCAGACAGAAGGGGATGGCGAGCCAGAAGTGAGACTCCTCCGTACCAGGGATGCCAGTTAGGATGAAGGTGAGAGGCACGAAAAAGGTGTGATTGTCGGCTGACATCACGCACCATCCCTTGGAGCTTCTATTCCACTTTTAGGACCTAAAAGCAAGAGAGAAAATCAGTGAGACCTGGAGGGGCAGCCGGGACTGGACTGTGTTTGGGGACAGAATCAGAGACCCCAGCAAACCTCCCTGGTGTGAGCAGCCTGTTCGGCGGGACCATGACCGCAGGTATACTCTCCTGCTACAGAACATCCCCATAATCACAGAGGGAAGGTGGTTTGGACGGCTCTGTCTTTGGGGTAAGCAAGCCCCCACCCCTCCTCCGCTGTTGGTGTCCAAAGTGTTTTCACACTGAGGGCTCAAGCAGTTACAGAACCACGTGGCTGGTTCCTCTTGCTTGGCTTTTGGAACACAACGTTGAAAGGTTGAGAGTTCAAATCTTACCAGAGTCACACAATTGGCCCTTCCATGCCCTTGGGTGGGGGGAGCTGCACACGGTGGCCATATAAACCTTATTTAGGGGTTGGATGCGATGACCTCCTGAGGTCTCTTCCATCCTAGGATTGTGTGACTGCCCGGTGTCACACTCACTGCTGCAGTTACCCCCCGGTGAAACCGGTGTGAGAGCAAAGCCCCTTTGACTGGCAGCGCCCTGCTGGCTCCCTCGGGCATTGAGACCCTGAGCAGGCCAGCCCTCCTGCGCTGGTGTAAACTCGTCCATCTTCTACCCCCACTGATTTTATGAAAATACGTGAAAAAGGGATATTTTCATTTTCAGGATTTGGCCCTAAATATGTGGGTCAATCTCACGACTCGGCTGTTCTACATGACTCACCTGTGCTAGGATATCTACACTGATCAGGGGTCTGAATGTTCCTTATCCCACACATGAACCCACCCCCTGTGAGATACAGCTGCCGCCTCTCAGCGGGCCCGGAGAGCTGCGCTGATGGGGGAGCTCTCTCCTGTGGCCATGGAGCTTCATGATGCAGCATTTTACTGGTAGAGCTGCCTGCATCCCTGCGACGGAGAATTGCCGCGACAGGAGGGGGCACGTCGGGCTCACCCAGCCCTTGTCATCAGTGGCTCCTGGGCCCCACAGTGGGACAGTCCCAGCTCTGCCCCTTGGCCCAGCTAATTCCTGCACCCGCACTGGGCCCAGCCCTGAGCCCCCAGTGACTGACGGGCCGTGTCCCTGCGTGAAGCCGCGGGAGGGGGTGAGGGGATGGCAGGGCCGGAGGGGACCCCAAAGGAGGTTCCCTCTGACCAGCCCCATTAGCCTAGAATGGCCCAGCCCAGCGCCGCTGAGCCCCACAGCCAGCGCCCCCCTGACTCCTATGGGCGAGGGTCAGTATCACCCGCTCCCGCAGCCTGACACTTCCCCTCCGCGCCGGGCCAGGGGCGTTTGCTCAGGGCCAGGGGCTGCCGTGCTGCCCTGCAGTGCGAGGGAGGCAGCCCCGTTCCAGCCAACCCCCCTTCCCACATTTCCTAGGGGCCAGGGGTGTCCAGCCGCCCCGGGGCAGATACCTGCCCTGCCCAGGACTCACCAGGCTCCTGCCCCGGCCGGGATGAGCGATCGCTGTCTGGGCACAGGGAGCTGCAGGGCTGGGGAAGCCGCACTGCGCAGGGCTGAGGGACAGGGGTGTTTATACAGCAGCCCTGGGAATCCCAGCGGGGGCTCGGAGCCAGCAGGGAGCCCCCGGGACCTGGCCTCTGAGACTGACTCAGGTGGGAAACAGCAGCCGAGAATTAACCCTTTCCCCTCCCTG